GGCCCCAACCCACCGCCCTCGCCGTGGCGGGACCGGCCCGTGGAGGAGTCGCTCCTGCTCTTCGAGGTACTCCTGGCTGGGGGCAGGCACTGCGTGCCCGTGGGGTCCGGGGCTCAGCCGACAGCTTCCCCCTGCTCCGCAGGACATGCGAAAGGGCAAGTTTGGGGAGGGGGAGGCCACGCTGCGGATGAAGCTGGTGATGGAGGATGGGAAGATGGACCCCGTCGCCTACCGTGTCAAGTTCACTCCGCACCACCGCACTGGAGACAAGTGGTAGGGAGGGCTAGGGGTGTCCCAGCACGTGTGAGAGGGGTGGGCCTGCATCTCCTGGGAGTGGGGGGGGTCTCTGGAGGGGAGCAGTGCCAGGCTCTGCCCCGGGGCTGACTCTGCCTGCCTTGCAGGTGCATCTACCCCACGTACGACTACACGCACTGCCTCTGCGACTCCATCGAGCACATCACGCACTCCCTCTGCACCAAAGAGTTCCAGGCCAGGTGAGCGCCGGCACGGCCCAGGGCTGAGCCGGACCTGGCAGGGCAGCTCTGGGGGGGAGCAGCTGGCCGCGTCCCGGCGTCTGCCGAAGTGCCGGGGGACAGCGTGTCCGTGGGGCTGCGGGCAGGCGCGAGGGCGAGCCGGGCTGTGCCTCCCTTGCAGGCGCTCCTCCTACTTCTGGCTGTGCAACGCGCTGGATGTCTACTGCCCCGTGCAGTGGGAGTACGGGCGCCTGAACCTGCTCTACACCGTCGTCTCCAAGAGGAAGATCATCCGGCTGGTGGAGACGGGCGCCGTGAGGTAGAAGCGGGGCTGGCAGCCGGGGGGGGGCTCGCCCGGGGGCCGCTGGCTGCAGGTCGGTGTGACGGTGGCCCAGGCGACGATGGAGCCGCATCTGCTGGAGGCGTGCGCGCGGGAGGTGCTGAATGAGCAGGCCGCCCGCGCCATGGCCGTCCTGGAGCCCCTCAAGGTCACCATCACCAACTTCCCTGCCCCGAAGGTGAGACTGCCGTGGGCTGGGGCGGGAGTGGGGTTCCTCAAGGTCAGCATTCACCCCCTCTTTCTGCCCAGGCACTTGAGGTCCTTGTGCCCAACTTCCCAGCCGATGAGAGCCGGGGTTTTCACAAAGTGCCCTTCCAGCCCACTGTCTACATCGAGGAGACGGACTTCAGGGAGGTGAGCTGGGCCCACCGGGCCATACTGCCCTCGCTCCCGGAGCTGCAGCTCAGGCAGCAGGAGCCTGGCAGCGCTGGGAGCTGCATGGGGCACAGGCAGGGGGGGGGGGCCCGACCACAACTCCCAAACGTGCCAGCTGCTCTGATGGGCACCGGGGAAATGCTGGCTGCCCTCAGCCTGGCCAGGATATCTCCAGCCAATGGTGCCCACACCTGGCCTGTGCCCTGGGGAGCGTCCAGCAGCAACATGGGAGTTCAAACAGCCCTGGGTGCCCCGGTTTCTGGGATGGCAGGAGTGGGTGGTGGGATGCAGTCGTGGGGACAGAGAGCCATGGGGGGGGGACACACGCTGCCCGTGCTGGGGCCCCCTCGTGCAGCCATGAACTCTGTTGCAGGAGGTGGACAAGGGCTACAAGCGCCTGGCTCCCGCGCAGCCGGTGGGGTCGGGCCCAGCG